TATATATATATATAGTAAGGCTCTTTCAACCTATTTGTTTATTTAGGCAATAGAAGTCGCACTAATCATTTTACGTTGACAGCTCTTGTAGCATCTCGCTAATTGAACTCTGGTAGATGCTGATGTTGAGCAGGGTTTCTTCCAACTCTAGTGGCAGCAAAGAGAGCAATCTTCCCTGTTCCTCGCTCAAATCTACAGCCTACCCGCTATAATGCAGTACGTTCGGAGGATAGATATGAATTGTTCCACTCTTCATTGATTCCTGCTAATGAGCCGGTCTAAACCAACACTGGCGCTAAGTAGCCCGTCTCAAAGCATACAGATGATGCTTTGCCTGGTTCTTTCTGCATTTTCTATGAGCCGCATTGTGGCGAATAGCAAGAATTGACCATAACGATTTGGAGAGGCGACAGCAGGATTTTTTGTATCTCTCTTGTTTTTGTGCTAGACTATGCGTAGCTTCTTAAACACAATAATAGGTATAATAAAAAAATATTTCAGAGGGCCCGTATTTCCCGCTTGCTGCCTCGCGGGGTTAGCTCGAGGGCCGTTTCCTCAGGGTGCTTGACACGCCTTGCCTAGAGGACGAGGAAGACCTCTTCCCGTTTTCTATCTCCCTGTAGTGGGTGCCCTCGGTGGGCCTTCGCGCCTATTGCTGAAAGCCGGGCTATGCAGTAGCGAGGGGCCAAAAGGGAGGAGAGTGGATAGGGGGGCTGTGAAAGGGGTGGAGGGAAGCTGGAGTGGCGGAGGGAAGACGAGGAAGCTTTCCTGCTCGGGCGGCTGCTCCCTGCCCTATGGAAAGCGGATCTCGGTCTCATCCCGAGTTTCTTCAAACCCCTGGTTCCACCACACCCTGATGAGGTGATGTGAGCGAGAGAAGAGCCGGGACCCGCTTTTCTCTCCTTTTGCATGAGACGCCAGGTCCCCAAGCGGCTGTCATGTGATAGCAAGAGAGCAGGAACTGCGGGGGTCTCCCGACTCGGGCACCATTACAAAACCGCGCCGGAACGCACAAGCCCCGCCACAGCCACGGCGGTCACCGCCCCGCTCGCCTCCTCTCCCCGCCGACTCCCGGYGTTCGCCTCTGCTGCAAACTTTTAAGGGGACATCGGACTGAACTGTGAGGGGGATGTTTTCCTTTCCTCCCTTCCCATCTCTGCACAAGTCCGAGGTAATTTCATGCTCTCGAGCCCTTGATGCCTGAGAAGCATCAACTCCAGCAGAGTGTGCCAGGCGGCAACGGGAAAGCCCGGGAGACTCAGCGGCCTCCAAGAGAGAAGCGGGGACGCCAGCGAGGGCCTGGACCTGCTTCTGCCACGCATCTCCCCGAGACCCCGCGGCCCGGGCGGCAGCTGTCCCTCCCGCAAGCTGAGGGGAGGCGAGGCAAGCGAGTCCCGAGGGGAGAGGCTGCTGGAGGGAGCCGCGCTTGGAGCTCGGTGGCTGGCCGCGGGGCGATCGCGTGTGGCCCGGACAGGTGGCACCCAGGATGTAGAGACAGCGGCAGGGCAGGGCAGTGAAGTTCCCGGATTCCAAGCCCCCCGTGCGCGGCATTGAGAGGTGCCCAGCCCGGAGCGGCGAGATCGTGCGGCTGCGGGAGGGCTGTGGCGGGGCGGCGATGCCCAGACCGGGGAAGAGTTCGTACAGCGACCAGAAGCCGCCCTACTCTTACATCTCCCTGACGGCCATGGCCATCCAGCACTCGGCCGAGAAGATGCTGCCCCTGAGCGACATTTATAAGTTCATTATGGAGCGGTTCCCTTACTACCGGGAGCACACGCAGCGCTGGCAGAACTCCCTCCGCCACAACCTGTCCTTCAATGACTGCTTCATCAAGATCCCGCGGCGACCCGACCAGCCGGGCAAAGGCAGTTTCTGGGCGTTGCACCCGGACTGCGGGGACATGTTTGAGAACGGCAGTTTCCTCCGCCGCCGCAAGCGCTTCAAGGTCCTGCGCCCCGAGCATCACCTGCCGGGCGGCAGCGGCGGGACRGGCGGCGGGGCGGGCGGCGGCGGTCCCGGCAAGCCCCCGGCGCCCACCCCGCACATGGTGCACTACTTCCATCCGCACCCGCCGCCGCCGCCTCCCCCGGGCAAGGTGCCGGGGCTGGCGGGCTCCGACGCGGCTGTTGCTGCGGCCGCGGCCGCCGCCGCAGTGGGAAGGCTGCCGCAGTTCTCGCCCTATGGGAGCAGCCAGCCCTCGGGCTTCAAGCATCCCTTCGCCATCGAGAACATCATCGGCAGAGATTACAAGGGTGTGCTGCAGGCCGGCGGGCTTCCCCTGGCCTCAGTGATGCACCACCTGGGCTACCCGGTGCCCAGCCAGCTCAGTAGCGTGGTGAGCTCGGTGTGGCCGCACGTGGGGGTGATGGACTCCGTGGCCGGTGTGCCTGTGTCCCCCGACTACGGACCCTTCGGCATGCCCGTAAAGGCGCTCTGCCACCCGCCGGCACAGACTATGCCTGCCGTCCCGGTGCCCATCAAGCCAGCGCCGGCGTTGCCCGCTGCCTCGGCCATCCCTGCTCTGACGGTCGCCGCCTCGCAGATCTGCCCCGCCGCTTCTCCGGCTGCTGCATCGCTGCTGGAACAGACCGCGAGTAACAACCCCGAGGGCAAGGGGTCCCTCCACTCCGTCCTGGTGCACTCCTAAAAAGCAGGGGCTCGGGGGGAGAGAGACCCCAAGCTCCCAGGGGACAGGACGGGGGGATCCAGGACATGCGTGCGGAAACCYGATCGATCTCATGACTATACCCCAGCTGGTGTCTGTGTTTATATCGTGTACTATCACATTATTTGAGAGYCAGGTCGCAGGTAAGAACTTTTATCGTCGTTAAATGTCATTAGTGGCGGAGAGGCGATGTGAAAAATCACAGCCGGGGCCAATAGGGCCAAGAAAGGAAAGGAAAAGGAAAGGGCCAAGAGTGAAGTTCTCCTCGCCACCCCGCCAGCATGAGGCACGGGGCGGCCATGCCTCCTGGGGTCCCCGCAGAGCCCCTATCCCGGGACAGCCACCCCAGAGGCCCCACGAACCCMAGCTCGTTAAGGGAGGTGCTGCAGGCGGCCGGCGAAAGGGGAGAGCAGAAGGGTAAAAACCCTGCTGAAGGATGCTTCTCCCTCTTGACGAGAGACGGTAAACCTCTGCCCATTGTCCTATAGCTCTCGCTCCGAAAGGGGTGGGCAAAGAGGTTAACTCAGACGAACCCTGACGAACTGCGGGTCCCGGGACGTGTAACGTTTGCTGTTTAAAGAGTAATTGTTAAATAGCTCGATTAAATAGTGGGGATTTAAGTGACAACGGCACGGACGGCGAAGGGTTCCTTTAACTAACTAATGATAACTTGCGCTTCCCCTTCACACTTTTATAATCCATCCTATAGAAGGGACTGAAGCACGACCTGGCCTCTCAACTCGTGTATGAGTGTCCGAATTCCCGAATTTCTCATTAAAATAAAACCAGCCCTGCGATTCGTAGATTGTGCTTTTCACATCACCTTTCACAGCTCACAGACACCACTATTTTGTGTGTATTGCTCGGCATTTCCTCCGCGTGAATGTGAACGCAGAAACGTGGGGGAAGGGGGGGGAGGGAGGGGAGTGAAAGACGTGGGGGAAAGTGGGTGAAGACAACAGAAAAATGGTTTAAAAGTTATTCGGGAAAAGCACTTTGCTGAAAGCAACCTTCCAACAGACGAGAAGCCTGTGCAGAGGGATCACAAGTCAGAGATCAGAAGTCAGAGAGCGACGCGCTGGKCTGATGATTCCCGGCTGGTTTGTGTGTGTTTGCTGCCGTACCCTGTCTGCCCTGCTGTACACCAATGCTCATTAAATATTATCCATCCATTTGCTTCTGCTGGTGCTGCTATTTAAAATACTCGCCTTTCACATTGTTTAAGAAACTTGTGCTCCTAGCATAAATTTTAGCTCCCTCTCCCCAAATCGACTGTCSAAAAGTTTTCTCGGGGACAAAACAAGGGGAAGAAAGGGAAAGAAATCTCTTACTGGTAAATTGCCTGCTACGGAGTCACAGTGGTCTTTGCCCGCAGGTCGCGGGCGAAGAGCAGGCATTCGGGCGTGAAAGGAAGGCACCGGCTCGGATCCGATCCCATGCAAGGCAGCTGCAGTTTAGTTTCAGTGTGTGCTGGATCGCACCTGCTTCGTGGGTTTTATCGCCTCATGCCGGCGCACCCCACAGTGGCCCGAGGCGCCAGGTCTCTGTCCCCGTCTCCGGGGAAGGRTATCCTRTGACAGACTGACCCTTCTTAATGCCAGAGAAACTTGTTAGGAAAAGCAAACCTGTTTGGCCTTGAGAGTCGTCTGTCCGAAGTTTTCCCCACACACATTTGTGGGGTCTGTTCGACCATTTGAAATTCCACCAGAACTGTTGAATTTTCAGTTGTTCCTTCTTCTCTACGTGGGGGACGCGGCGGGTTTGCACCTTAATGTCAAAAATTWTAGAAATACTAGCGTTGAAAAATACTACAGTGTTAATGAGACACGTGTCGGTAACACGTTTGTGAATCGTTCTGGAAAGTGAAATGCCTCTGTAGTATTTCAACCAGAAAAACTGAGCCAAAAGCAATTAAAAAAAAAAAAAAAAAAAAAAAAAAAAAAAAAAAAAAAAAAAAAAAAAA